CTCATAATAATATAAATCCGTGATCAAAAATTAATATGTGACGAAATTTATATTCCCTTAATTATTTCATCCTTCAGATCAATCAGTGATATTTAATCAAAATCAGTGATTATAATATTTCAATAATAAAAAATATAAATATATATCCGTGATAAATAGTGACAAACCTATATAATTATAATTATTAAAAACGGTGATTATTAATCAAAATAGGTGATTATTAATTATCTGTGACAAACTATATATCAAATATTCCATAAAAAAATTATTATATATTAAAATCCACTGCTTCTTGTGATATATACATAAAAAAACGACACAAAATAAGCAAAAAAAGTCCATGCAATAATGTGAAAAAACACTCAGTGATCTTCACTTCTAGTGCTCAAAAGGAATCCTCCAATGGCAGCAATGAGCCATAATGCTTATGTTTTCATGCATGCCTGCTCACCTCCCCGCCTTGACCCACACTGGCCACAAGGCTATAGCTCTCCTCAAAGGCAATCCTTTAATCCAGGCTGCATTTTTCAGGTTGGCAGCATGGCGGCAGCGCCCCCCCCCTTTCCCACAGAAGGGACACTTCCGTGGGAAAGGGACAGGGGCTGCTGTGTCTTACCTGTGTCCATGACTCCGTGTCCCACGTCGATCCGGTCCACAAGGCGCTGCTGGAGGAGGGGTGCAGAGGGTGTCCATCTGGTGTCTTCATCTTCCTGGATCTTGATTGTGATGTGGGCGGGATGACAAGCCGCCCCTCGAATCTGGCCACACCCCTGGGATCACTGGGCAGCCTACGGCAGCCTGTCCCTCCCCTGCCTCCTCGCCGGTGATTGGCTACCAGATCTGTAGCTCAGAAAAGGCACACAGGCAGCCAATCACAGGCGAGGAGGTGGATCTTGGAGAGGAGGAGCTGAGTGGCAGCGTGAAGATTGAAGATCGAGTGAGGAATCAGCTGGAGCAGCTGGAGCCGGTGAAGAGGAGAGCGGCTGGAGAAGGAAGACAGCTGATGGGTAAGTGTCTGTGCCTGAAGCAGGGAGATGGGGCTGAAGCAGGGGTCAGCACAGCGATGTAAGTATAATTGGTGTGTCAGTGGCAGTAATAGTGCCCCATCATCAATGTCAGTGACACCAATGATTGGGCACTATTCCTCCCACTGACACCAATGATGGGACACTAATCCTCCCACTGACACCAACGATGGGGCACTTCCTCCCACTGACACCAATGATGAGGCACTATTCCTCCCACTGACACCAATGATGGGACACTATTCCTCCCTCTGATACCAATGATGGGGCACTATTCCTCCCACTGATACCAATGATGGGACACTATTCCTCCCACTGACACCAATGATGGGGCACTTCCTCCCACTGACACCAAAGATAGGGCACTATTCCTCCCACTGACACTAATGATGGGGCACGTCCTCCCACTGATACCAATGATGGGGCACTATTCCTCCCCCAGACACCAATGATGAGGCACGATTCCTCCCACTGACACCAATGATGGGGCCTGATTCCTCCTAATGACACCAATGATGGGTCATGATTTTTCCCACTGACACTAATGATGGAGTACTATTCCTCACACTGACACTAATGATGGGGCACTATTCCTCACACTGACACTAATGATCGGGCGCTATTCCTCTCACTGACACCAATGATGGGGCATGATTCCTCTCACTGACACTAATGATGGGGCGCTATTCCTCCCACTGACACCAATGATGGGGCACGATTCCTCCCACTGACACTAATGATGGGGCACTATTCCTCACACTGACACTAATGATGGGGCACTATTCCACCCATTGACACCAATGATGGGGCACGATTCCTCCCACTGATACTAATGATGGGGCGCTACTCCTCCCACTGACACCAATGATGGGGCACGATTCCTCCCACTGGTACTAATGATTGGGCACTATTCCTCCCCACTGACACCAATGATGGGGCATGATTCCTCCCACTGACACCAATGATGGGGAACTATTCCTCACACACTGACACTAATATTGGGGCACCATCATTGGTGTCAGTGTGAGGAATAGTGCCCCATCATTAGTGTCAGTGGGAGGAATCATGCCCCATCATTGGTGTCAGTGGGAGGAATAGCGCCCCATTGTTGTTAGTGGAAGGAGCTCTAATAGGAAGAGGTGGAGCCTAAAGAGGAAGGGGTGGAGTTTGCAGATGAAAGGGTGGGACAAATTTAGATTCGGGGGTGCCCAATTTTAATCTTGCCTAGGGCAGCACAAAACCAAAATACACCACTGCAGTATACTGTATATGAATTAGGTTGTACTACAACATACATATACAGTATAATGCATAATTGTGCTAAGGTGTGCAGCTTGACCTAATCTAATATTTTCTATTTTTCAGAGGTCCCTGAAATAAGAAAATGCAACTAGATTTAGGTAGTTTACAATGTTATTTGCAGAACAATATGCAATGGCACTAACTCTGAAATGTTAGCAAGATTGCAATCATAAGCCATGGTGGTATATTATTTGAACTCTGGCTAATAGTTTAACCTTGTATTATGTCTGGGTCAATGCAGTCATAAATACAAAAATGTGTATTATAGTATTATTGATACTCACATAAATTACCAATCTGTGAAATCAATGTGAGCACTGCATCATAAAGCAACATCCTCAAAAGAAACAAACCTGTATATTCTACTGCTCTGAATCTTATTAGTAAAACAGATTAGACTAAAGAGCAATAAAGGCAAAATACTGAATTAGTTCTATATTCAAGTAGCATCAGAATATGTCATTTTTGGTTAAAGCATACCAGCAGCCATCATCACTCTACTGAGGTTCCCCAAGTTGTTTTCCTCTAGTCTGTTCCTTGGCAGGATGATAGAATACACTCTAAGGCTGCATGCACACTAGAGTTTTTATAAGCTCAAAAAATGCTAGAGAAAAAAAAGCTGGATGAAAGTTTTTAGTTTCTGAACCCCAAGGAAATATCTATTTTTTATGCATGAATTTTTTCTAAAATGTAATTTGATCTTCACAATAATAATAATAAAAATAACACAGTCTTATTTAATACGTACGTGTGCGTGGTGCACAAATTCTTTTAAATTAATGTCTATTGCAAGAGGAAACCTCCAACTGATTCTCTTAGGTTACAGAGACATTGCCATATTGGAAACATTGCCAGAATCATGTCGTCCTAATTCCTGGATAGGAGGCTTTTGCTTTTGGTTTGTTTAGAAGTTCAGCAACAGTCATTTGTTGATCAGGATAACTAGGTGTACAAGAGAGGGGTAGTGCAATGTGGATGTATTCAAATGCTGGCCATACATGGCTTGAATTGCAAGTAATTCCTACTAAAAAGGAAATTCCAGCCATAGGTGGCCTCTTGTAGGCTTGCAAAACTTTAACTGAAAAATTGTTTGAACTGGTTGAAAACATTGTCAGCTAAATGGTGACTGCAGTCAGTCAGATGCAGTTCACGTATTTGAACAGCATAATGTCTGAATACAATAGCCAACAGGGGAAATTTTTCAAATCAGAGACTGAGTCAGAGAAATCTATGCTGGTGTGTCAAGCTTAAAGCCAAACTCCAGGTTTCAGTGACATTTAAGTAGATCAAATGCAAGATTTCCTCTGACTGGCTGAGGTGGAGAGGTGGAGGATGACATCACACTCCCCATCTCAGCCAACTTGCTTTAAAAATGGTGTGAAGGTAGGGTAACTGCACCAACTGCACAAGTGAGCGAGCTGTGAAGGGAAATGTTTAACCCTTGAAGACAGATGTCTTCAAATCAGACTTTGGAAGTTTTTATTAAAACTTGAATCTCAAAATATATATCTCCATGTATAAAAAACAGGGCACAAAGGAGTAGTACATTACCAAATAAAACTTTATTGAAATATTAAAAAGTAATGATTGCATACTAACAATAGCCAAAAGCTAAGACAGCAATATAGACAAGATCCTAGTGGCAGGGTAGCCGTCGGAAGGATGAGTATCAACACAAACTTTACAATGCCTTGCCATCTAACATGTTTCATGAGACAAACTCTCTTTATCAGAGTCAAAGAGGGCTCATCCTTTGAAATGCATTAGCTGGTGAGTCCTGGTGATGCAGGGATCGTGTTGATGCCCATCCTTACGAGTGCTACCCTATTGTATTGAACAACTACTACTGGGATTAGGAACCTGGGGTTCACCAACTGCACCAAGCCTTCCCCTCCCTATCCCTCTCACTTTACTTTCTCCATTGTATGCCAACACCATAATGTTAAGGCATCATCCATCCCAAATCAGCATATACTTCCTTACCCAAGATGCTGGCCCAGGAATTTCAAAATCATTGTAGTAGTCCTTATGCTCTAGACACTGAATGCACATGTTCTGTCAGACAGATCTGCCCTCTGATACCTCCTATTACAATGTTACAATGCACAATCTGAGAGAATAATCATTGAGGGAGTTGAAGCAGTGGAAATGTTTGCTATTGCCTAAATGATATTGATGACATTATTCTTTCCAAATGTGCTACTAAGACCAATCATAGCCACCTCACTGGAGCTCCAGAACTCCAGTGATCTGCTGACTGATCTGCTTTAATGCTAAATGCCCCTCCCCCCTCCTCACTGGCTGTGATTGACAGCAGTGGGAGCTAATGACCTTCAGCCTTTTAGAACCACTTTAATGCAGGACAAAGAGCGGACTGTATTCTATAGCCATTAATAAAAATAGACACTACTACATTAAAGGTGCACCACCCAATGACTGTACATTCTGACACAAATGATTAGTGAAGTATATACACTACCCAAACAACTTACATACTGCTTCTCTTATTTCCATCACCATTATCAACATCATCATTATCCCCCACCCCAAAGCTGCAGAAGATGATGATGTGATGTGGAAGATTGGTAACAGACAATATACACTATATTACCATACGTATAGGGACACCACTCCAAATCATTGGATTCAGGTGTTCCAATCAAGCACCTAGGCATGCAGACTGCTTCTACAAACATTTTTGAAAGGATAGGACGCTGTCAGGAGCTCAGTGAATTCAAGCGTGGTACCGTGATAGGTTTACACCTGTGCAATAAGTCCATCCATGAAATTTCCTTGTTACTAAATATTCCACGATCAACTGTTAGCGGTATTATAACAAAGTGGAAGCAACTGGGAACAAAAGCAACTCAGCCACAAAGTGATAGGCCACATAAAATGACAGAGCTGGGTCAGCGCATGCTGAAGTGCACAGTGCACAGAAGTTGCCAACGGTCTGCAGAGTTAATAGCTGAAGACCTCCAAACTTTGTGTGGCCTTCAGATTAGCACAACAGTGCGTAGAGAGCTTCATGGAATGGGTTTACATCGCCGAGCAGCTGCAGCCAAGCCTGGCATCCCCAAGTGCAATGCAAAGCGTTGGATGCAGTGGTGTAAAGCACGCTGCCACTGGACTCTAGAGCAGAGGAGAAATGTTCTCTGGAGTGATGAATCACGCTTCTCTATCTGGATGTGACTGGGTTTGGCAGTTGCCAGGAGTACAGTACTTGCCCTACTGCATTGTGCCAAGTGTGAAGGGGTTGGGCTTGGCCCCTTACTTCCAGAGAAGGTAAAGGTCCAGTAAATCATAATTGATTATTTTTATTTTTACAATCATTATTTTTTTTATAAAGATAATATATTGTTTCCTACACTGTATGCTGAATTAAAATAATAAAAAAAAAATGTGTTACTGAAACATAGGTATGACATGGGAGGATATATTAAAGCTCCAGATAGTAGATTAGACAGATTTTTTTTTATCTAAAAACATTTGATTGAAATTAGGTAGCATACAGGATCACATTCACTAGACAATACAAAGCCAAAGTCATATAACTGAGTGGCATATTTTCAAGGGCATACAAACAAATGTAAGTCTAAACAGAAATAGAGTCTATTGAACTCAAGGACAAGTCCTTGTCCCCTGTAAGGAAATAGGAATAGTAAAAGGCCATCCAATGATACCAGGGATCGAGGGTAGGTAAATATTGCCCATATGAGGTCAGCCTGGAAAGTGGTCATCTCAGAAGAAGGAGGAGCCTCCTTAACCACCGATGAGTCCTGAAGCCCTTCAAGTGTTTGACCAGTCAGAAGAAGGAGGAGATGGGTGGAAAAAGGGCTGCAAGTGCACTGGAAGGCCTCTCTGGTGTAGGTCGCCCAGGGCAGTCTCCTTGGGCTAGGGAGTTTTGCAAGGTCAGGATCTGAAGTCACTATGTGGGGGGAAAACCAGTCAAGCATTAAGATTGCTAAATTTTTTTGAAATAAGCAAATGGTTGCTGCCACTGCTGAAATATATTACAATTTTATATGGCTAAATAAAGCTGCAAAAACATCACTCTGGCAAATCCGTACAGGACAGAAAAGATGAAATGCTACTTGAGTGGATTCCCTCAGAGAGCTTCCTGTAGTCATTTTTAAATGTCATTATGATCTGCAGACACTGGCATGGACTCACGATGATTTGAAATATGTACATAAGCAAGCATAAATATACATGTGCTCATGTAGATAGGACAGAATTACAGCCATCAAACTGCACATTATTTTTGTGCAAGGCAATTCTGCTAAGTAGGCCTTGTGATTTTACAAACCAAAGATCTAAAGGTCAAGTGATTTATTTATGTCAGAAGAAACTCCTTACAGAATTACATACTTGAAACCTGGAGCCATAACATCGTATCAGTGTAATAGGCAAGTGACAGGTGTGTCCTCGCTCTCTGTCATACGGCCTAAGCAAAATGCAAAACAGAAAAGGCAGTTTAATGAAGTGCAGCTACGTGGTTGTAAATACATTCCGTTTACTTGATATTATGGCAGAGAAGTTATTTTTTTTATGTGTTCATGAACACCCTTATCAATCACACACTGCCTATGATGCCGCTGACGCTAAATTATTCAGTTTTCATGCTGTACTATGTGCTTACTTACTACATTTGTTCTATAGATAGTGAGACTATTCCCAATATTGAAATAAAAATAATTCCATCCCCTTCATCCCTGTAAATATGGGAATTCAGTAATTCTCAGTGCAATGAACCTAGGTGCCTTGAGGGCATGGCATATTCCTGCAAGTTGACATAAAGCCAGACTTCTGGAAGAGGCAGCAATCATGTTACAGGAGCAGGAGCTAAGGATTCTAGAAAATCACTTTCACACACTGATTGTTGTAATTATGCAAAATGGGAAGAAGAAATAATATATGGCATATTATTGTTATTATTATTATTATTATTGTGACCCTGTCAGAAAGTGCACCAAATTAACTTAAAACAGAACTAAAGTGAGACCTGAAGAAGAGCAAGTTGACATAGGGTGGAGGAACAGGTCAGATAAAAGGGTAACATTGCATTGTCAAAATAGTTTATTGTTTGTGTTAATGTTATGTTATTTATTTTAATTTGTGAATAAAATGGTTGCTGTGGCTACTTGCCTACTGGACACTTTCATCCCCTGCCAAAGTCAATTTTCAGATTTCAGTACTTTCGCACTCTGAATGACAATGTCATGCACCACTGTACCTATATGACATTTTTAGCATTTTTTTTAGACAAATAAAGCTTTCTTTTTGGTGGTATTTATTTACCTAGTTAGGATATAACCTCTGCGCCTTGGATACACCTAATCACAGTGTCCCTTTATAACTGTGATTGCTTCAATTAATAATATGTGCAAATGTGCCACACAAAAAATAAATTAACAATATGTTAACTGCACATATCACCAAATTATGATATTATGTAGTATCTACTAGTTCATTAACCTTATGCTGTGCACATCATATACAGGTGAAACTCGAAAAATTAGAATATTGTGCAAAAGTTAATTTCAGTAATGCAACTTAAAAGGTGAAACTAATATATGAGATAGACTCATTACATGCAAAGCAAGATAGTTCAAGCTGTGATTTGTTATAATTGTGATGATTATGGCTTACAGCTCATGAAAACCCCAAATCCACAATCTCAGAAAATTAGAATATTACATGCAATCAATAAAACAAGGATTGTACATAGAACAATATCGGACCTCTGAAAATTATAAGCATGCATATGTACTCAGTACTTGGTTTGGACCCCTTTTGTAACAATTACTGCCCCAATGCGGCGTGGCATGGAAGCTATCAGCCTGTGGCACTGCTGAGGTGTTATGGAAGACCAGAATGCTTCAATAGCGGCCTTCAGCTCTTCTGCATTGTTCAGTCTCATGTCTCTCAACTTTCTCTTGGCAATGCCCCATAGATCTCTATGGGGTTCAGGTCAGGCGAGTTTGCTGGCCAATCAAGCACAGTAATCCCATGGTCATTGAACCAGGTTTTGGTGCTTTTGGCAGTGTGGGCAGGTGCCAAGTCCTGTTGGAAAATGAAGTCAGCATCCCCATAAAGCTCGTCTGCGGAAGGAAGCATGAAGTGCTCCAAAATTTCCTGGTAGATGGCTGCGTTGTTTGTGGACTTAATGAAGCACAGTGGACCAACAGCAGCAGATGATATGGCTCCCCAAATCAACACAGACTGTGGAAACTTCACACGGGACTTCAAGCATCTTGCAGTGTGTGCCTCTCCATTCTTCCTCCATACTCTGGGTCTTTGGTTTCCAAATGAGATGCAAATGTTGCTCTCATCACAAAAGAGGACTTTGGACCATTGTTTTTCTTTAGCGCAGGTAAGACGCTTCTGACGTTGTTTGCTGTTCAGGAGAGGCTTGACAAGAAGAATACGACATTTGAAGCCCATGTCCAGGATCCGTCTGTGTGTGGTGGCTCTTGATGCACTGACTCCAGCCTCAGTCCACTCCTTGTGAAAGTCCCCAACACTTTTGAATGGCCTTTTCCTAACAATCCTCTTCAGGCTGCAGTCATCCCTGCTGCTTGTGCACCTTTTTCTTCCACACTTTTCCCTTCCACATAACTTTCTATTAATGTGCTTTGATACAGCACTTTGGGAACATTCAACTTCTTTTGCAATTACCTTTTGAGGCTTTCCCTCCTAATGGAGGGTGTCAATGATGGTTTTCTGCACAACTGTCAGGTCAGCAGTCTTTCCCATGATTGTGATTCCTACTGAACCAGACTGAGAGACCATTTAAAGGCTCAGGAACCCTTTGCAGGTGTTATGGCCTAATTAGCTGATTAGAGTGGGACACTTTGAGCCTAGAATATTGCACCTTTTCACAATATTCTAATTTTCTGAGATTGTGGATTTGGGGTTTTATGAGCTATAAGCCATAATCATCATAATTATGACAAATCACGTCTTGAACTATCTTGCTTTGCATGTAATGAGTCTATCTCATATATTAGTTTCACCTTTTAAGTTGCATTACTGAAATAAATGAACTTTTGCATGATATTCTAATTTTTCGAGTTTCACCTGTATATTCACAATGTATAAATCCTTGTGCCATATACGTCATATAAAAACTAGTGTTTAGCGTCGAGGCTTAGTGATGCACTTCCAGTCACGTGGTTTCCGGGCGGTGGATCACATCCGAACATCTGGTGTCAGATGTGGATAGCGGCCATCTTAGATTACCACACAGAAGCTGAATATACTGGGTACATAGAGCACCATTTATGTGATTGGAATTGTTTTATTTATTTAATAAAATTAGTATACAGTTTACATGATGGGATCCTTTCTTCTTTTTTGAGTAAACCTGCCTGCCAATATGTAAACAGAAATGACCTCCTATGGGAATTTAATTCAGCGGACCTTCCGTCACATATGTACTCATAAAGAACTTTATTTTAATCATATACTTTATTGTACAAAAGTGTTATTAAAAAATACAACATGTATTTATATTTAAAAACACACCAGGGATATATTCCCTTTGTAAGATTGCAGCAACAGAACATTCCCAAATTAACTGACGCGTTTCGATCATTTCACTTTTAGATCTTCTTCAGAGGGAATAAGAGCAAGAGGGATCTCTGAATAAGCATATTTGAGATTAGTAATAATTTGTGTGTAAAACATCAATAACAATTATACAATCTCCATTTTCATACTTACAAAAAAGTTAAACGGTTAATGTTGAACAGAGCAGTCATAAAAATACTGGCGTTCAAGACGGGACTACATGGTCCAACATTCAATGGTGTGAGCTAGTACAGAAAGAGAAAAGGAGGCGCCTCCTGATCTTAGTATTATTATGAAAGGATTTATTGATAAAACGCTAAGAACATTCACAAGATGAAAATGCGTAAAGGTTCATCTGTGTATAAGTCCTAGTGCCACTCGTCTTCTTCCTGCAGGGACTGGACCTGGATGTCTCTGATGGATAAGAGGAAACAGCGGCTGGCACTCTCCAGGAAGTCCACGCTAACCAGGACTGCAAGCAGATGTGACGTCACTGGAAGAGGAGGGAGTGCCAGAAAGTACACAGACACTGCCAAGGCAGGCTATGCACTCAGAGCCTC